AGTACTTTTTGGAGAATGTGTGGTTAAAATTGAAAGAAACTTTATTGGTTTATGTGTATTTCTCCCGTTACTTGCAAGCTTCATGATTGTTGTCACTACGTAAGAAGCAGTGACGCTCGTTGTTGATTATAACAGTGGTGATGGGCCCATCGCCACTGTGCGTGCGCGCAATCGTTCTCTGTAGAGTCGAGCAGCTATTGTCGTCTCCCACCTTTTGCCATCGGAGAAAAGAGGAATGGAGATCGCAATTTCTGTGAACTTTGTAGAAAATATATTAAGGGTGGGTGGGTTGTGGTGTGGAATTTGGGTGGGGTTGGTGGGGATGGACCTAATTTTTGAAATAATGACTTTATAATATGATTATTGAAATGAAAATTGAAAAAAGTGTGTGGGTGTAATTTTCTCTTTTTTATTTCGTCCATTAAATAATTGGATTTTTTAAAACAGATTGATATGTTTCAAAATGATTTGGATTATTCAAGTAAAACTAAGAAACCACGATCTTTATGTTAGATTATCATTAATCATGTCATTAATTTTTTTAAAAAAAATCATGTACTAATTATATATTTTTTTAAAATAATATATCTCGAAATAAAAGGTATTTACTATCATTAACTGTTACCAAATCACAAATAGTAGAGGGAGAATCAAATTCATTTTTTCAATAATCATTCCCAAAGTGAAGTTGGAGAGGAGTTGAATGTTTCTTTCGCCACCGAACTCCACATTTCGTCATGGTTTACTCACTTCAACTTCAAGAATCGTCCCACTAGGTGGCAGAACGTAAATCTACGTTAAATGTTTAAGTGGATCTCCACATCAATCAAACACGCCTCAGCTTCAACTCCACCATGTTTCGTCTGTCCTCCTCAACCAAACCTACCGAATAGCTACTCCAACCATCGACATCTCCAAATTCCCCCATCTTTTCCCAAGCCCTTTAAAATCAAGATACCACCTCCAATTTGCGATGACATTCTCCGAACACATAACTCCCAGTCCACCGGCCTCCTCTTCCGCCACCTCTCTCTACAAGAACAACAGATACCACATTCACCACCTCTTGAAAACATGAAAATCAACCACTATTGCTCAAAGAATCTAAAGAAAAGCAGTTGGAAATTTCACTTGTAAACAAAAGGGCACCTCAATCGAGTAAAGGAAAAAAATTATTGCCCTGTTCTTTGAAATTGGAAAAGAGTTTAATTGAAAAATAGGAAGGCGGTAGAGAGGTAGGCGACGATCGGTAGGTGGTTTCTGTGTATAATAGGCAAAATAATGGTGGATTGTACTGTGTTTGTGACAGACAAGACAAATGAAGCATGTGGATGAATTTTCTTGGTGTTTGGATTGTGGTTGATGTTGGAAATTTTCAACATATATGACGCCACACGTAATATATTAAAATGTGTTGTGCTATTGTTTAAAGAATATTAG